AAAAGAAAAGAAAAGAAAAGAAAAGAAAAGAAAAGAAAAGAAAAGAATGATAAACACAAAGTCCACAATAGGTATTACCAAAGAAGATGACAGAATACGGGAAGGACATACCTCTATAGCCACGTGGTTTACAATGGCATCACTGCAATGCAGTGGGGAGAAGAATGGTCTTCTCACTCACGGGTGCAGACCAATAGACTGTCGGTATGGAAAAATGAACTGACCTTAACACGATACACGTAATAATTCCTGATGAGTAGTGGATTTTACTGTGAAGAGTAAAACAATGTGGCTTCTCAAAGAGAGAGAACCTGCTGCAAACAGTATAGTTGGCTAAGTGCCTCACCTAACTCCTGCCACACCTTCAGATCCACTGTGGTGTTCACGCCAATGCCAATGACTGGGAATGGCAGAGATGCTAGAACTGAACCATTTCTGCCTGCCAGGGCATCCTTAAAGAACAACATGTGCTCTGGGGTTCCCCATTAGCCTGACAGACACTGCCTCACACTGCAAAGCATTACGAAGTCTGAGGTTTTTCCTAGTCAATATTTCCTCTTTCTTTGTTCTCTCACTGATGCCAGATGTAGAGTAAAATCCTAAGGCTCTCCTTATGTATCCCTGTTCGCTTTACTCTCTATTCTATGTCAGCTTTTCCTCCACTGAGTCTCTGCCATTTCTACTTTCATCATAGCACCTACTTCCCAGAAGACTTGAACTGACACCATTACCATTTTGAAACTGTTAATGAATTAAGGGCCTAGCTTTTGGACACCAAAGATCACGAGAACACATATAGAAAAACCACAAGCCGTCATGTTCTCCAAGGAAAAATACACACATCTTCCTAGTTTTGAGGAAAAAAAAAATGCATACACACACACACACACACACACACATCATTTCTAGTTTTGAGACAAAATACATCCCATACACTTACATTCCACCTTCCAGGCAAAAAGGAGTAACAGGAACCAACTTATTCCAATGCCTAAAACAACCAAAAAATCTGACCAAATATATCAAAAAGCAGTTCTCAAACACTGGCTAGCAGGCAGCACAGGAAAGTGATCGCTGAAAGAGGGGAACCAAATAAGATGAGGCATACCATTATCTTAACTGCCTCTGGAGTTTCCAATGTGCAACGTGGGAAACCCAAACGAAGCCCAGCAATCTCCCCAAGTTGAGAAGACAGAGCTAGGCATCCACGAAGGCCAAGGTGTCTAGCGTTTGCAGGCCGAGTACTGGAGAAGACAGAGCTGCACAGAAAGTGAGCTCCAGGGATGTGCAGAGGGGTCCCTGCACATCAACCACTGAGTACTGATCAGCATACGTTTATGAGGGGACCCACCAAAATCCAGGGAAAGAACAATTCAATGTGAAAATAATTTTTGCAGTTAATACAGTGCCAGGAATAGCTCATGCTCCCACCAGCCAGAGTGGAAAACCTTATAATTCAAGGGGCAAAAGCAAGAATACTCAGAAAGGTACTGCCTACAGTAGGCAAAATTAGCCCTATATTAAAAGCTGCTCTGGTGTCATCTTTAAAATCTTAAACCCAAGCTTCAGAAAGATCAAACTACTTCTAAATAACTTAACTCAGTCCCAGAAAAACAGCTCAAGATTATTTATAGAAACACAAAATATTCAAAACTCAAAAAAAGGTATGCTTCACTTTGTTTGGTGGTATCCAATAAAAAACAAGCAGGCAGGTAATGAGGCAGAAAAATACAATACATAATTCGAAAATGGACTCAGTTGAAATCTCCCCATAAAGGACTCAGATGACAGAACTATAAACAAGAACTTTAAAAGTTACTATATTCCATATGCTCAAGCAACTAGAAGACCAAGCCTGTTAAGTAGACATGAAATATATAAATAAAAACAAAAGACTCAGATTGAATTTCTAGAGATAAAAACATGGTCTTATATAAAAAATACACTGAATGAGGTAAGTGGTAGATTAGACACTTCAGAAGTTGATTAATAAATTTGAAGACAAAGCAATATAAACTATCCATAGATAAACACAGAACAATAGCAACAACAAACTGAAGGAAAAAATGAGCAGAAAGCTGTGGGGTAAGCTTAAGTGGCCTACTGGAGTCCTCTGTGTAACTAAGGTCCTCATAAGGCAGGGCAGTGGGGGGGAGCGGGAGAGACACAGTAATATCTTAATATGTAATGGCTGAAAATTTTCCCAATTTTATGAAAACTATAAACTGTCAAATTGAAAAGGCCCAACAAACCACAACCAAAAGACATATTTAGAAAATTAGTCAAGGTATACTATAATCAAATTGCTTGAAACCAGGGAGAAAACAAAAATCTTAAAAGTAGCCAGAGTTTAAACTCACACATATTAAATGCAGAAGAACAGAAGCAAGGGTGACGGCAGACTTCCCCCTCAAAAACAGTGCAAATCAGTAAATATATGCAATAATATTATTAAAGTACTGAAAGAAAAAAACTGTCAACTCAAATTCTATAACCAGTAAAAACACAAAGTGAAACACAATTGAAATAAAAGAAATCCAAACTGGAAAGGGAGATGTCAAACTATCTCTGTTCACAGATGGCATAATCACACATATAAAAAACTGTAAGAAATTCACCTTAAGAACTATTAGATCTAAACTAGTAAGTGAATTTAGAAAGGTTGCAGGATACAAAACCAAGAGACAAAATCAATTCTATTTCCATACACTAGCGACAAATAATCCAAAAATGAAATTAAGAAAATAACTCCATTAATAATAGAATCAAGGGGCGCCTGAGTGGCTCAGTCAGTTGAACGCCTGACTCTTGATTTCAGCTCAGGTAGTGAACTCACGGTTTGTAAGACTGAGCCCCGTGTCAGGCTCCTGTGCTGGGTGTGGAGCCGGTTTAAGATTCTCCCTCTCCCTCTGCCCCTCCCGCCGCTCTCCCCAACTCCCCCCAAAAAATAGCATCAAAAAGTATTAAACACTTGATCTTTAGAAATAAATTTAACAATTTAACAAAAGATATGTACACTTTAAAACTGTAAAACATTGCTGAAAGACACTGAAGAACTAAATAAATGAAAAGATATCTCACATACCATATTCAAGTACTAGAAGACTTGATATTAAATTGAGAGTACTCTCCAAATTTATCTAAAGATTCATTGCAATTGCTATCAAAATTCAGGCTGACCTTAGTGCAGAAATTGCCAAATTGATTCTATGATCTCTACAGAAATTCAAGGGCCCAGAATAGCTAAAATCTTAAAAAAGAAGAACTCAGAGGACTTACATTTCCTGATTCCAATACATAATTCCAAACAGTAATTAGCTTGTATTGGCAGAAAAATAGAAATGTAAAGCAATGGGATAGAATTGAGAGTCCACAAATAAACACTTACATTTACATGGTAGGAGATTTTCACAAGGGTGCCAGGATGATCAGAGGGAAAAGAATAATCTTTTCAACAAATGATGCTGGGACAACTGGATATCCATATGCAACAGAATGAATGTGGGTCACTATATACAAAAATTAAATCAAAATGGATCAAAGACTAAATGTAGCATCTCAAATAATAAAACTCTTAGAAGAAAATATTGTTGTAAATCCTTGAGAACTTGGATTAGGTATTGATTTTTTAGATATGACAGGAAAGCACAGGCAACAAATGAAAACAAATGATAAACTGGACTTCAAAATTAAAACTTTCATGCTTCAAAGGTCACCAATAAGAAAGTGAAAGAATGCACAGAATGGGAGAAACTATTTGTAGTTCATAGATGTACAAATAGGGACTTGAAGATGGAATTTATAAAGAACTCTTTTAACTTCCTCAGTAAGATGACAACCCAAATGAAAAGTTTCTGAATGGACATCTCTCTAAAGAACATACACAAATGGCCAAGAAGCATAAAGAAATGATTATTATTAGTCATTAGGGAAATACAAATCAAAACCACAATGAGATACCACCTCATACTCACTAGGAGGGTTGTAATAAAAAGAATAGCTATAAAATGTTGGCAAGAATGTGAAGAGACTGTAATCCCCAAACATCGTTGGTAGAATGTAAAATGGTATAGCCACTTTGGCAGTTCATGCAAAGGTTAAACATAGAATTACGATTTGACCCAGCAATTTTACTTCTAGGTAAATACCCAAGAGAAGTGAAAACATATATCCACACAAAACCTTGTATGTGAATGTTCGTAGTAATGTTATTCATATAGCCAAAAAGCCTAACAGCCCAAAAGTCCTTCAACTGGTGAATGGATAAACAAAATATATATTCAGCCATAAAAAGTAATGAAGTAATAATACATGATACAGCATAGATAAACCTTGAAATCATTATGCTAAGTGAATGTAGCCAGCCACAAAAGGTCACATATTATAGGATTCCATTTACATGAAATGCCCAGAATAGACAAATCTATAGAGACTAAAGTAGATTAGTGGTTGCTAGGGGCTAAGATGAATAGGGAATGGGAAGTGACTGCTAATACATAATTGAGTTTCTTTCTGGGATGATGAAAATGTTCCAGAATTAGACTGAGGTGATGGATCCACAACTCTGTAAATATACAAAAATAAAACAAAACAACAACAACAACAAAACACCCAAACACCCAATGAATTATACATTTTGAAAGGGTAAATTTTATGATATGTAAATTATATATCAATACGAAAAAAAAAAACAAACGCTGACTATTGAAGCAAAAGAAATAACAATGTATTGGGGGGTTTTACCTATAGAAGTAAAATGTATGACAATATCACAAAAGTCAGGACATAGACTGCTGAAAGGTCCTCAAAATTCTAGGTGAAGTGGAAACTATAACTTAAAATAGGCTGTGATAGGGGCACCTGGGTGGCTCAGTGGGTTAAGTGTCTGACTCTTGATTTTGGGTCAGGTCATGATCTCACAGTTCAAGAGATGGAGCCCTGCATAGGGCTCCATGCCGACAGTATGGAGCCTGCTTGGGATTCTCTTCCCCTCTCTCTCTGCCCTCCCCCACTTACACATGTGCACACACAACATAAATAAATAAACATCAAAAAAAAAAAAAATAGGCTGTGCTAAGCTAAAGATGTATATTATAATTCCCAAAGCCAGTGAAATAGCCCAAAAAAGAATTATAGTTAATAAGCCCTCCCAAAATATGGACTTAATCCAAAAGCAGGCAATTGTTCAGTATAAAATGCACAAATCATCACATGAAAAAAACACTTTCAACTTTTAATAAGAACTTGCAAATTCAACTACTATTCACATCTCAGTGTAGAGTGGGTACAATGAGGATACAAGTAACACAAGTAGGGCTTTTGGGCTCATCCCAGGTAAATCCTATAGATTTCTAAACATAACGATCAGCAACAAACTAGATATTGGAAATGTACTCAAGAACTGAACTGGGAACCGCTTCTCTAAAGGGGTTCGATAGTAAATATTTTGGCTTTGTGGGCAGACACTATGGTAGCAACTCTACCATTATAATACAAAAGGAGCAATAATATTAAAAGAATAAGTGTGTGTGTATTCCAATACTACTCACAAAATAGGCAGCAAGGAAATTAGGCCTATAGGTGATACATTGCCAACCCTGACTTACCCTCTGGCTGGGGAGACAAAATGTAACAAAAAGTAAAATAAAATAAACCTATCAGGTAAGAGTCTACAGCAAAGGAATGTACAGATACTATTACAAAGGCAACAATGAAGGAGGAATCAATGACTGGGCTGTAAAGAGTCTTTATGATATTTTTAAAGTAAAGGAAATAATAATAATGTAGGGGAAATTTTCTTTTAACAAAATCTCTTTCTTATATATAGAGGTTTATCTACCATCACCTAACAAATTCACATGAACAAAAATATAAAGGACACTTAATAAAAGAAAAATTCATTGTCAATTTGATTTACTAACTTCACATATATCAGGATGTAGGTCTTTTGAGACATACCAAGATAATAAATTTTACTTAACTAAGCCTGAAGGCAAACCTAGACATTTTAGATCAAAACCTTTGAGTAATCTACATACTTTATATTCATACCATGTAAAGTATCCCAGAATCCTCTGTACCTTTTAAGATTGCTTGTAGATTATCTAACGTTCTTTCAAGGACTCTTCTAGCCTTATCTATCAGATATTGGTCAGCATTTATATATCTATCAGATATTGGTCAGCATTTATAAAGATTGAAGAGTAAGGGAAAAAAAGGGAAATTACTGACCTGTTCATCTACCGAGTCTCCTGCACCTTTTAAAGACTCCATGGAGACTGAAGCAGCAGTAACCTTGGAAGTCTTAAGTTTGACATCAGCTTTTGGACTCAACTTGTGTCTTGATCTGGCATTTCCTTCCGTAGAAATTCCTAAGGATTTCCATCAAACAAGACACTAAAATTATACCTTATTCTCTTAAACTCGCCCCCCCCCCCCAGTAAGCACTTCTCCAATATCCCTCCTTATGGGACCCCACAGGGAAAATTCTACTTTATAAACTTCATTTTAAACCTCTTAATAAATAATGAACCATGGAAAGATTATGTTTTGAATACAGTTAAGGTTCAACTTAAATATTTTTAAAAGGTGATGTGGAAATTCATAAGTCACATTAAAACTTATAAATCTTAAGATACAGTCAATATATACCTTAATGTAGGGGAAATTAAAAATCTGATTTTTCACATAGTCAGAGTACCTTCAGTGGTTCAGTTTAACACTCATTTAGTAATAACCGGTAAGCTTTAAGGAGTCTATCACATAAACCCTGTATCAAGAAGTTTTCACATTTTTCTTTGAACTATAAAATTTAGTCTATTATTTGTAATATAAAAAAATAAGAATCTCTTGCTTTTTAAGAGATGAAATGAAATGTTCTACAAGTTCATCTAAAGCTTACTTGCCTGACCAGCCCATAAAATAAGGCAGTATTTCAAACCTTATAGGTTTGAAACCTATAGGTCAAACCAAGTTGTGTTTTTTTTAAATTACTTTCCAATGAATTGTTCTGCCTCTAGTTATATCGGCAAAATGGTCCTACTGTTTTATTTTCTCCTAACACTTAAGAAGCAAAGGAAGCTTACAAAATTAGTACAGAAAACCATACCTGGAACATACACTACTGATTGCTCTTCATCAGAAACTGTGAAGAAGGACATGAAGGAAAATACTAAAAAAGATCGTCCAATATCCAAATGCTGCCTCTGTTCTGTACTTCTGCTATAATTTCTAATTTCTTTTGACCTGGGAATTTATAACTAGCTTTTAAAAAGAAAATTAGAAAGCAATGCAACTGAAATAAAATGTAGTAAACTTAATCTTTTAAAGTTCATCTTTACATAGTCCCACTATATGTTTTGTGAAATTTTTGGGAGGTCTTCTTCCATAAAACTTTCACCCATGCTTATTTCCAAGTGAGATATCTTGGAATAATATATTCTGCTGTGAAGTTCCTTTCATTACCTTTCCTTTTGTAAGCAAGGAGTTAAATGCACCAGTTTGTTTATTATTGGAGAACGGACAAGTTATTTTAGGCATGAATAAATAATTTCAAAATGAGCTTTAGCTCTGAAGAACAAACACTGTTTGAGGGCAAGTCCATCATGCAAACACAAAAAGGTTTTATTCTTCTGCAGTGCATTCATGAAATGTCCCAGAAGCCCTATGATTTAACAAGTGGAAGAAATTGAAGACAAAAAGAACTATTTTGAATTTCAAAAGGAAAAATTTAGAAAGGCTAAGATCATAATAGTGTTATAGAACCAATATAATAAGAAAGCTTTCTTTAAGAAACAACATCTTATTCAGAACTATATCTAAATCCAGATAAGTCCACAATTTGATAACCTTTGATTACACTTCCGGGAAGTAAGTGTGTAAACAATTTTTTCCAAATGACCTACAAAATACCTGTTTTCTGTTCTTTCATAAAATGCTCTCTTCTCCGAGATTTCTAGACAAATCAATTATTAAAAATTTCCTTCCAGGCAAAGGTTGGAGTAAAATAGTAGATTTAACAACATGTTAAAAAAAGTCAATATACATCAGTTCAGGGTCACTCCTAGCTATGGAATCTTTTCAAGGAGGCTGATTGTTAAGTGCTCAGAATCCCCATAGGAATTTAGGAATACAAAGGGGGTGCTACTATGTGAGCCGCCAGGTGATTTCCAACAGCTCTCTGCAGCAGCACACAAATACTGCCACAGATTCAAGATTTGCGCTGATAACTAGTGCCTCTACACTTCAAATCCTCTCAGACATCAGGTATGGAGCTCAGAAAATGTTAAGGGGCACAGAAGACAAGTAAACAAACAAAATCAGACCCCACTAGTCTAAGGAAATTGACAGCAGCTAACACGGGAGCAGAGAGAAAATTTACAAATTCACTGACACCCAATCTAAAAAAAGCCTTACAAAATGAAATTATGCAGCCTCTTCAACAGCAAAAACCAAGTCGTTTTTTATATCCCTTGGGACTAGTGCACATAGGTTCTCAATAAATAATCTGCTGTTAGAGATACCCACATGGGAAGGTACCCAAGGGAAGAATATTCAAGATGATTCAGGACAAGCTCCATTTGGCAACATCTTCAATTAGAAGATACAGTAATGATGAATTTGCAGAATATTCTCCAAAGACAATCTATGGAAAGACTAACATAACTGAATCCTGGGAAACACACTAGACTTCCCTAGAACATTCATGAAGAAGACTGCTCACAGCTGGAACAGACCAGCCACTGAGGAACCAACTCAGCTGCATCATGATTTGGAAGCTCATCAAGTATCTTCTCTCAAACCTGATGCCACCTCCCACATCCTTACTCTGAGCTAATAACTGTTTCCTTTTTAGGAAAAGCAAACTGTAGAGATCTTTCATAAGCTTTATTTGCAGATGACATATTACATATAGAAAACCCTAAAGACTACAAATAAAACCATAAGAATAAATGAATTCGACAAAGTTGCAAGATGCAAAATCAGTTTAAAAAATCTGTCATGTTTCTCTACGTGAATAGAAAAAGAAGAAAACAATCCCATTTACAACTGCATCCAAAAAGAATACAATACCTAAGAATTTAAAATTTAAACAAGCAGGTGAAAGACCTATACACTGAACACTGTAAGACATTAAAGAAATTGAAGACACAAACAGAAACTTATTCCATGGTTATAAAGTGTAATAATTAATATTGTTAAAAATGTCTATACCAAAGCAATCTACAGATTCAGTGCAATCTCTATCAAAATTCCAAAGTGATTTTTCATAGGAATAGAACAAACAATCCTAAAATGTCTATGGAACCACAAAAGGCCCTAAACAGCGAAACCAATCTTAAGAAAAACAAAGCTACGGACATCATGCTTTATGATTTCAAACTATATTACAAAGCTATAGTAATCAAAACAATGTGGTACCGGCATAAAATCAGACAAAAGACGCCCATGATAGCTACCCTTTTCCTGCTTTTTCTTTATATGTCACCTATAATCATTGGGCATACAACATGTTTTACTTATTCATGACCTCATCTCATCTCACAAAAACGTAAGCACCAAGTGGAGGAGGATTTTTCCCCTGGTTTTGTTCAATGTTATATCCCCTAATGTCAAATGCCCAGCTCATAGTGAACCGTCTATGAAAGAATTAAAGTGATATTTAATTCTATAAAGAACTAACAACGTTTCCGTGTTGTCTTTCTATCCTGTAGGGATTCAGAACTGATCACCCCAAATGTCCACTTTGGCATGTGGATTATTTTGACCAGAAAACAATCAAGGCCCAAAAGACTCATGAAGAATCCTTGTCCCTGCCACTAATTGCCTAAAAGAATTTAGATGTAGGACCTGCTCCCAGAAGAGAGAATCACCATAAATAACTATGTATAACATAAACTAGGAGTGGTAGATAGGAAGGAATTTAGCAAAGTCTGTTTGTTAAATTCCTTTCTATGTCCCATTGTTTCCATATGGCCCAGGAAACACTTGTTTACCAAACATGTATCCCTTTTCACCTTCCTGTGAATTGCTTTCCTTGCCTTTAAAGTCCCAGATCCCTATTCCCTTCCCCTTAGTTTGGGATGACATATATACCTCATTTCGCTTGTCTTTGGAACCTCACACAGATATATAGATCCCCCATATATACGTAATTAAATTTTATTTTCTCCTCTTAATCTATCTCATGTCATTTTAATTCTTAGACCAGCCAGAATTACCTTGAAGGGTAGAGGAAAATGTCAAAATATGCAGGCAAAACCCATCAGCCACATTCATGCTAAATATCTTTTCAAATATAAAAATGCTAAATTAACCTTAACATGGGTTTTAAAAAAATAAACATAAAAATATTTGAAATTGCCTCCATCCAACCTATCCTTTGTAATCATTGGTAATCTATCTTCATTCAAGAACCCAAATAACTTACTTTCTTCAAATACAAAGTCTGAAAAATATACAAACATATTTCACAGGAAAAGTCAAAGAGACACAGTATATACCAAATGTCTACTGGACCTCTTACTGGGTTCTGTGTGTCACCTCAGTTCTACTTCGGCTTCTTTGGAAGTTCTTTACTAAGACAAGTACAGCAAATTATAAAGCATCCTTAATGCTAGTACCAAACTCCAAATCCCCAGAATTAAAGCAGTAATTAGAAACCAAAAGTACAGAGGAAGGAGCATATCTATCTCAGATCAACAAAAGCTGAAGAAAATAAACTTGGTGTTGCACAGCCTAATCTAACCTTTTTTAGTTTCACTTACAGCAACACACGTATATGTATGTAATTATCATTGACCCAAATGACTTTCCTGGCTAGTATATTCTCTTAACATCAACATAAAGTCTCTATCTGTAATTGAATATTCAATGGCAGAGATTATAGCTACTGCAATGTTTTGACCAAGTCCCTTACAGTTCATATTTGTTAATATCAAGTTAAAAATACAGTTAATGAGGGGCGCCTGGGTGGCTCAGTTGGTTAAGTGTCCGACTTCAGCTCAGGTCATGATCTCACTGCCCGTGAGTTCAAGCCCCGCATTGGGCTCTGTGCTGACAGCTCAGAGCCTGGAGTCTGTTTCAGATTCTGTGTCTCCCTCTCTCTCTCTGACCCTCCCCCGTTCATGCTCTGTCTCTCTCTGTCTCAAAAATAAATAAACGTTAAAAAAAAAAATGCAGTTAATGATAAAACACTGGAGTGTATTACCCAATCAAATTTAGATACTGCAGAAACATTAATTTCTTTTGACACTACCAGGAACTATACTGAAGAAAAACAGTTTATGGCTGAAGGGGCATATTTTACTTGTAGATTTAACCCATAAAATGACAACATGGGATACTCACTGTTTACACAGTAGGTATAAAGACATACCTTGTGCCAAACATTACTGCTGAATCATACTGTGCAGGAGATGCAGAACTCATAAGAAGAGTTAAAAAAAAAAAAAAAAAAAAAAAAAGGTGATGTTCAGTCACAGATGATCTGTCCTCACATGACAGAAACATCTAGGACCAGGAAATTTCCTAGTCACATTTCTCTAATTGGTTAGGCAAAGCATTGAAAAACTTTCTTTTAACAGTGTGAAAAGAATACCAGATTATACATACATTCTTTTTGTTTTTTTCTATTGAAACTTCTATATAAAGCCTATGAGGTGGTCTAGGAAGTCATTAGTGTAATAAAGATCCAAAGACACATGATTAAACCAAATGATTCATAACTATCCTTATACTTTTTAGCAAAGATTCAGTAGCAAATTTATATTTGACATTGCTTTTGTGTCCTATGGAGATTTAAAATGAAAACATCTGAGGCTGGATGGTAACTGGGAATTTTATGCAATAGGTGAGGGAAATAGGTAATACTAGTAACCTTGCAATTCATTTCAAATTACGGAATTTCTATCAAATTTAATCACCACTATCTTCCCCATTTGATTTCTACTACTCACTTTCAATGAGAAGATAAGTATTTTACATTAATTTTCAGAGTAAGGATGAAAAGAGAGAAAAGAGAGAATATAGGACTTCTATGTGAAATAAGGAATAATAACTATATGACTAAGTGAGCATACAGGGCTGCTTAGACCAAGAATACAGTTTGTTTATTTACCTATTAACTTAATTAGTGGAACAGCAATACACTGCCCCCCCCCCCCACACACACACACCACTTATACCGATGAGAACAATTCCCTTGGTCATAGAGAAAGTTAAGGAATAACCACTGAAACCACATAAGTGGTTATGAAAATGACTACACTAAAAAAAGCACCTTAGAAGCTGCTAACCTTCAAGTATCCATTGCAGGCATAGTGTTCCATGAGAAAAGACTCATCCCAATTTCCTGACTTCCTAATTCAGCCCAGTTCCCAATGCACATATTCTCTTTGCATCCTTCCTGATAAGAAAAAAAAAATATTTAATTTGCACAGTGCACTAGTGTGTTTTCATCCACAGTACACGTGCATGATTTTACTTGTCACCCACCTATCAGAGACAAGTGGTAATTATGTTTACAAAGTATTAAACACTGAGCAAGGAATGCAAAAATATCCCTCTCTACACATGACACTGTAATCCTAGTTCTATAACTCAATCAGTAAAACTGATAATATAATTTTGTAAGTTTCACAGGGAGCTAAGTAGAACGTGCAGAAAATGATTCTGCCAAAGTTAACAGCAATGCTTCAAACAATGCTCTATCATCAATCCTAACAAACAGACAAAAAGACTTGCCTCTGCAGGCACTCCTTACACGGACTGCCCTCTCTTCATGTAACACTTCTCTAACGTGATGTAACTTACTAGGACCAAAGATCAGGCGGGCACCGTCTATCCAAACCCAAGAAAGAATCAGTCTGTCACACGTCTCATCAGTTACTTAACTGGGAACACCACCACAGCGGTAAAGCTCCACAGCTTCTCCACCCCAAAACAACTCAAAAACTTCAATCCTGCCAGTGGGGACCCACAGTCCACATGAAACTCAACACTACTTCCAGCAGCAAAGACTTGCAACGCTTTTTATTCCGTAACCAGTACCACCAGACCACGTCCAGCCCCAACCTCTCCGAAAATCCCAGCAAGAAAGTAAATCATCAATCACGGTCAGGCCTTCGAAGTCCGACAAGGTCCTGACTTGCTCCTAACAACGCAGACCAAGGACAGTCCTAAACCAAGACAAAAAGGCTCCCTGTCTAGCCCACACCCTACCCCTCCTCCGCAGAGATTCAGCCGGCCCGAGGTCACCACGGTCAGAGGGACCCTCCCAGCCCCTGGCTGGACCAAGATTCTAGGCCATCTTTCCAAAGCTCACCGCCAAGGAGGGCTGGAAAACCTCAGTGCTGAGTCTCCAGCCTGGAGCTCCAGCCTGGAGACAGAATCTGGCTCCCAGCTACCTAACACCCAAGTCAGGGGAAAGCCCGGCACCTACACGACGGCCGGAAAGGACGGCCCCGCCCCCAGAGATAGCATCGAGCGTCGCCCCTCCACTCAGTCCCACGCGACCTCTCGCCGCGCGGTGGAGGGCGCCGGCGCCCCCTGCCAGGCGGGCAAAGGATACAGTCCCGGCTCCAGAACGCCGCCGCGCCGGGGCGGGAGGGGCCCGCCACGTCCGCCATCTTGAAACAACCGCCACTCGGGGCGTCGCGCCGGGGCCGCCCCGCCCCAGCCTCCAGGCCCAGGCCGGATTGGCCGCACGGCACAGAGGCCCGCCCCCGCTTGCGCGACCGGCCCCGGCGGGGCGGAAGGGTCCGGGCGGAGGAGTCGCTCTGTCCCGGCGGCGTGGTGTGACACGACCGCCGGGGTCGCGGGTACGAGCGCCGCACGGAACCACTACTCCCAGAGCAGCCGGGGCCCCCCATCTCCGCCTCGCCGCGCTCTCAGGCGCCGAGCACTACAACTCCCGGCGTGCCGTGAACTGGACGGCCGAGCTTCTGGGGCGGTGTCCAGCCGTCCCGCCCACCCCGCTCGCCCGCTGCGTCCCCGCTGCTGCCCCCGCAGCGCGCGGAGCCGGGACGCGAGTCATGGAGGAGACGCCGCCCCCAGGCTGCAGCAAGCCGCACCTGGAGAAGCTGACCCTGGGCATCACCCGCATTCTAGGTGAGTGGGGCTGGGTTCCGTGGGGGGGCGACTGCGGGACCAGAGGATGTACACTAGAAGCAAGGAGGGGCGGCGCGACGCGGACCCTGTGTGCCCGTGGGCACCGCTGCTGTAACTTCCGTTGTTGAGGAGGAGAGGGGTCCCGGTGCGTGACTAGGCCCACGGAGCGTTTGCGGGTAGTGTGAGGACGCAGAGCTGGGAAGCTTGAAGGTTCCACCCCCCTCCCACTCCCCAACCCAGGGCCCGGGAAGGACGAGCAAAGGCGTGCAAAAGGGAGACAGCGGGCACCTGACTGAGGGGCCGTTGGGTTTTTCCGGAGAGGCATTCTTGGCCAAGGAAGTATCCTTGAAATGCAAGCCCTTCCTCTGGTAGCAGAGAGCTGGGGAACTGCGCGTGCAGCCTTCCAGGGCAACAACTCCCATGCGCCTCCGGGTACCGCACCCCAAGTGGTTGGAAGGAGTCAAGGCTTGTGCCACTGAAAGGGTTAGTTTTTCCTTTATGGAACCTTTACTTAGCACCCGCCACTGTGTTAGACTCAAGGATTACAAAGATGGGGTGGGGGGGGTGGAGGAGAAGCAAAACACAACCTAGGTAAAAATCAACAGCCTAGGTACCCCTAGAAATGAGAGAGGCGGCCAGTAGTAATCTATTATTGCTCAGAAGTAGCACACAGGAGGAGGTGATTGACCTTACCTGGGGAGTTAAGAAATATGGCCTACAGGAGATGTTGCTAGAGTTTGAAAGACAAATTGAAGCTGGCCAGATAACCAAGGAGGAAAAAGCCGAAGCAGGCCAAATGTCATGCTTTGATGCCTTCCCATAATTCTGTACTGTGACCCACAAGTCTGTTTTTGAGCTACTCTCCTCTCTTTCTGACCTTATTTTTACTCTTTCAGCCGCAGTGGCCTCCTTATGTGTACCTTAAACTCACCAAGCTTGTTCCTGCTTCAAGGCCTCTTCTAGACCCTCCCCTTCTCCCTCCTGCCTCCCGCACCCCACCCCCCATCTTCTTCTAAATGTCTTTCCCTCACTTCATTCAAATCTCATCAAATATCAGTACCTCAGAGAGGCCTTCCCTGAATGTAATTCTAGTAACACCCTTCTCTATCATTGTCTTCCCTTATCTTTTATATATATTTTTTTAATCCTTGTGGCTTTGTCACTTCTTGGAATTGCTTACTTGGTTGCTTTTTTCATTTGCTGGTCTCTTCTTTAATAGAAGTCCACAAGTCTAGGAACTTTGTCTTGTTCTCCCTGGGGTTCCCCAGTGTCTACGGTAAATGCGCAGTGAGACATGAAACACTATCATATGTTTGGGAGAAAAGGTGAGCTTTAGAAATGAAGTTGTAGAATTGGGCAAGGAGAGATCTAATCTTCAAGCACAACCATATCCTATCTCCTCATTTAAAAAGTTACTTTCTTTTGATTAATCTATTCAAGTCAGGCCGGCTAAATTTCCCTTAAGCTGTCAGTTCAATTTAAAGCCCTAAATAATTAAGTAACTGTCAACATTTCAAGTTTAATTTCTACATTTAGTATATTCTGTCTGTTATTAAGCATTTCAGGTGTCTGACACATCTGGTAACACAAGGCAAAACCTACCTAAGGAATTAAACTACTCTGGTAATTAAATTTATAGTGAAGCTGGTCTCCCATCAACAGGGTAATGCTCTTTGTAAATTTAACCACAACCTCATAATTTCGGTTAATCACAAGTCAAATATCAATTATATTTTTATTTTTTCACATTTGGCTTTTGTTTTAAAAACATATTAAGAGGATTTTAAAAAAACAAGCTGGCTGACATCCGTGGTGGGTGTGAGGTAAGCAAAGTACCGTACCAAAATCTGCTCCCTAAATGTTGTGTGAAGTGTTGTCCATAACTATGACAATTCTATCCAGTTCCAAACCCAACATTATTTAAAGATAGAGAATGCCAAAAGTGCAAAATAACTATGAGTAAAAACAGAAAACAGCAACAAATCCCAGCACTGTTCCAGTGCCAGTTGCTCATTGCTAGAAGATTCTGTGGCAAGCAAAGGCAGACCCAGAAAGGATGCCAGCAAAAGAGGCTAGTTGGAACGACAGAAAGATTAAAACCCGCCCCAATCTGAAAGTGCAACAGTAACAAGTGGTAGAACAGAGTAGGGCTGCAGTAAAGTGACTTCAAAGTAGGTGCTGTCTGAAGGGTCGGCCATACAATTTAAAGGGACCGTATTCCAAGTGCATGTATTCTAGAGAAGAATATGTGCAAAATGGAAGAGTTTTTTTGACAATTGATAATAAGAGGATAAAGAAACAGGAAAGCTCACATCACTCCCCTATACACAAAAAACCTGCTAAAATATCTGGACTTTGCTTCAACTGACTGGAAACAGTGTCATTAAAGTAGACATCTTGTTAAACACCACAGTTTCACAAAATGGACAAGAGAAAAGTAGAACCCGTAGAGAATTAATGCTGAAGTCAGGAAATGAAATGCTAAACAATCAACTGAGGGGAAAAAAATTTGTTTATGATGACAAAATGTTTTCCTACTCAGTGGAACCTGGAGTAGGCAAATGTTACATTTGATAACAGATGATTATACATACAGTGTGAAAAATGATCTGCATGAGATGCAACAAGATCAATTACAGCTGACCTTTGAACAACACAGATTTGAACTGTGTGGTTCATTTATACCTGGATTTTCTATAGTACAGTAGTTGAAATGTATTTTCTCTTTCTTATGATTTTCTTAACATTTTCTTTTTTCTAGTTTATTTTAAGAATACAGTATATAATACATATAACATACAAAATGTGTGTTAATTGATTTTATGTTATCAGTAAGGTTTCCCATAGTAGGCTATTAGTAGTTAAGTTTTTAGAGTCAAAGGTTATACACAGATTTTCAACTTCATGGGGGGGGGGGGGGGGGGACAGCACCCCGACACCAAACCTCTGTGTTACTCAAGGTTCATCTATATAATCTATATTTCTCCATCCTAAACTTCTCTACTTTTTTTTGTAATTCTTTTTTTATCATTTTATTTAATTAATTTATTTACTTATGTTCATCATGATAAGTGTACTCTTTAATCCCCCTGCCAATTTCCCCCATTCCCCTATCCACCTCCCACCTGGCAACCATAAGTTATTTCTCTATAGCTAACAGTCTGTTGGTTTGCCTCTCTTATTTTTCCCTTTTGCTTGTTTGTTTCTTAAATTCCACACATAGGTGAAATCATAGAGCATTTGTCTGTCTCTGACAAACTTATTTTCTTCTATCCATGTTGTTGCAAATGGTAGCATTTCATTTTTTATGGCTGAATATTCCATTAGGTGTTTTATATGTATATATATATACACACATATATATACACATATGTATATCATGTCATCTCTATCCATTCATCAATGGATGGACAATCACTTGGGCTGCTTCTGTGTCTTGGCTATCGTAAATAATGCTTCAGTAAACGTGGAGGTGCATGTATCTCTTTGAATTAGCATTTTTGTATTCTTTGGGTAAATGCCCAATAGTGCAATTACTGGATTGCAGGGTAGTTCAATTTTTAATTTTTTAAGGAACATACTGTTTTCCATACTGTCTGTACCAGATTGCATTCCCACAAACAGTGGAAGAGGGATCTTTTTTATCTACAGCTTCACCCACACCTTCTTTCTTTGTTGTTGATTTTAGCCATTCTGACAGGTATAAGGTGATACCTGATTGTAGTTTTGATTTGCATTTCCCTGATGATAAGTAATAATGAGCATCTTTTCATGTGTCTGTTGGCCATTTGTCTGTTGTCTTTAGCGAAATCTCTATTCATGTCTTCTGCCCATGATTGGATTGTTTTTGAGTATTGAGTTATATAAGTTATTTACATATTTTGGATATTGATCCTTTATCTGGTGTCATTTGCAAATATCCTCTTCTAGTCCATAGGTTGCCTTTTAGTTTTACTGATTGATTCCTTCACTGTGCAGAAACTTTTTATTTTGATGTAGTCCCAGTAGTTTGCTTTTGCTTTTATTTCTCTTACCTCAGGAGACATATCTATAAAAATGTTGCCACAGCCTGTGTCAGAGAGATTACAGCCTGTGCTTTCTTCAAGGCTTTTATAGTTTCAGGTCTCACATTTATTTTTTTTAATGTTTATTTATTTTTGAGAGAGAGAGAAAGTGTGAGTGGGAGAGGGGCAGAGAAAGAGGGAGACACAGAATCTGGAAGCGGGTTCCAGGCCCTGAGCTGTCAGCACAGAGTGTGATATGGGGCTCAAACCCACGAACTGTGAGATTATGACCTGAGCCGAAGTTGGACACTTAACTGACTGAGCCACCCAGGTGCCCACGGGTCTCACATTTAGATCTTTAATCCATTTTGAGTTTATTCTCTTATGTGGTGAAAGAAAGTGGTCTGGTTTCATTCTTTTGCATGTTGTCCAGTTTTCCCAACACCATTTGTTCAAGAAACTGTCTTTTTCCCATTGTATATTCATTCCTCCTTTGTCAAAGATTAATTGACCATTTAATTGTGCATTTATTTCTGGGTTTTCTGTTCTCTTTCAACTGATACTTTTTCCCAAAAAACAAGTATGAAGCAGAATAAAACAGCAAGTCTAAACTCCAGACAGAATTAAAATACATAAACAAGCATCTGAGGATATGAAAAACTACCCAGAATCACACACTCAAAAACTAAGAACAGAAATAGAGGGGGAAAAAAGGACGGAAAATGAAAAAAGAGTTGAATAAACTCAGACTATAATTTGAAGGAAACAAAGTTCTAAATAAAGGGTAAATTATAAGGTATCATAAGGAGACTAGATTGAAGTGAATTTAGTCTAGAGCATTGAAGAAAAATAGGAAAACAACCAAGAAAGCGACATAAAAAAGTAAAAGGGTCAAGAAGGAAGGGGAAATGGAAGATAAGCAAATAAGGAATGCTATTCATATTATTAGAGTCTGTGAAGAGCAAAAACAAAATAGTGGAACAGAAATAATATTTA